TCAAACGTAGCATTAGAGATGATATGTTTTGGACCTTTTGGTAATGCTCTTTCTCTTTTTCACATGCGTTGGGCTTTAAAAGACGGGGCCATTTAGCAAAACTGACCTGATTTTGGGCACCAAACCTTGCAAGTGATCAAAAGGCTAATATGACAATTTTTTTATAGGAAAAATTATATTTAAATCTCTTAAAATTTGTTATTTAGTTACTTAGATCTCTTGATATTTATAATATAACACAAAAATTCCTTAAAATTTATACACGTGTAACACTTAGGCTCTTGATTTCAATGTCTATTAGTAAATTATACCTATATTCCTTGAAATTTAAAAAGTGTAACATTTAGATCTTTTAAATTTAAAATATTATATTCAGACTCCTAATTAGTTATGGAACTAATCTATTACAGTTTGATCCTTTTAGTTTTTTAGTTTTATTTCAATAGATAGTAAAATTATATACAAATGAGTGTTTAATAGTATTCTTTGATATATTTATACTGATTACTATATGTATTTCATATCTTTGAATCACTTACTGATTTAGACATCAGAGAGTCGATCTTTGGAGCTCTCCTCCTGTCTTAAACTTCTTTTTCAAGTGATCAAAGCCCAGCAAACTAAATTGAAAGTTGTCCAAATTTTAGCATCAACAGTACTAATTATAATTTTTTTTGAGAAAAATTAAATTTTGATTTTCGATTTTATTCAATAAATGACATAATAGAGCATTAATTTTTGTTATAAAATTTAAAATATTTGATATTCTATTTTTAATTGAAATATTTTTTATCTAAGTATAATATTTTAAACTTGAGGAGTTTAAGTGTTACATGCCTATAAACTTCAAGGGATCAAAATATAATTTATTAATGATCATACTAATGGACATTGACGGTAGAGATCTAAANGGTTCAAGTGGAAAGCTGGAATCTGCCACTCGGCTTTTTTCTTCTCCATCCCTAAAAAATTACAAGATAAAGAAAAATAAACTCAAGTTCAGGCTAATACACCCAAAAAAATAAAAAAGAAGAGTAGAAGTATAACTTACAAAAGCTGCATAATACACGAATGTCAGCCCCGCTAGAGTAATGAATGCAATTTGAAACACATTGTACCTGTGGTGGAAAAACCAATATTATGACCGCATGATATTAAGTCTCCTAATTATAAATCAGAATATAAAAAAAAGAACTCTCTACTGACTTGTACAAATATTTTATTCCACGAAGGGATTGCAAGGTGTGCCCAAATATTTCTTGAGCAGCAGTAGCTTGGGCATAGTATGCAAATGCAGTGGCGCAGAACTGAATCACACTGCAAGCACAAAAACAAATCACGATCACAAGTTCACAACCTAAAGTGACTGTTAGAGTTCTTATTTATACTATTAGTAGTGTAGGGTAATATTGTAATTTTCCTAATGTCAGTTTGCTATAAATAAGAGAGTGTAGGGCAACATAGCCAACACAACTGATTATTTCTCTCAATCTCTTCCTCCCTTCTTCTCTTTCGTAAACCCTAATATCTACTTTTTCGTTTTAACTGTGACCAATAGGTCCAATACAAAGGATTCCCGAACCACAGACAGCAAAGTTTTATCCTTAATAAAATTACTATGCACTGTATATGCATCCCTGGTGCTGGGATGCATCCCCTTTTTTGGTGCACCTTAGTAATTTTTTTTCATAAACCAAACTGCAACGTTACCACCATTGACCCGAAATTTACCCTTTTTGAAAATAACTTATCAAAGCTAATCATAATAAATGCAAGGATGACGACTGTAAATGGTTTATTTCATGAAGAAACTTCCACAAGAATACAATGCTAATCACTGGTAAAACCAAAGCTAAAAATTAGATGAACATAGGGTCTGTCAGATTGTCACCAACCTCAATAAACCATGGGTCGACTGACAATAATTTGCCAAGCATGATTTCTTGAGTTGCCAAGCAAATAACTCAAAACAAGGTTTTAAGAATTGTCACGCAAATAACAATTGCATTTTCTACCAACCTAAATTGCCACCCCATGATCAAGTAAATGTGTGCTACTTTTAACCCAAGCATAGAAATTGTTACAGTTCCAATAAAAATAAATGCAATATCAAGATACCAACCTAATAGAGCAAAGAAGAATGAGTCCCACATTAAAGAGAAACGAATTCATTAATGTAGCCCCCCACCTGTAAAATTGGGTCAATCACCAGAAAGTGTAAGCCCGCCAATGACCATAAAAAATCACATAGAAGTAAATAATATAACAATATTCTGAAACCACAAAAATCATTACTTCATTGGATGAATCGTAATGAAAACTAATCTCAAGCCAAGCATCATTGCCCCAGCAATAACTGCAATCAGAAGGTAGAAGCAGAAGAATGCAAATGCTGCAGTACCCAGAAGTCCTGGTGATGCAGGTCTTGTGTCATGATCCATGTTTCATCAAGCAAAAACTTAATACAAGAAAAGAGATGCAAAATTTCTCAAAGTTACCCCAGATGTCATCCAACTTGATGAAAATCTCATTTAGGAAAGGAGAAAGTGGAGGGTCAATCAATAGATAGATCACAATATGTGCAACCCAAGCCACTGAAACAATCAATCTGTTAAAGAGGCAAACGTGTCAATGGACAACCAATAATACAAATAGAGCAGAACTGAAAACAATATCACAGAGTGGATGAACTATGCCTGGGGGAGGGGGGAGAAGAAACCACATATAGTAATTATAAAAGGGGTCAGAAAAAAAATAAGCATACATGTAAGAGATGGAACCATGTCCTACTATTCAAGACATTTAATTTGCCTATCAAAAACAAAAACACTCTTGCTATCACAATTTGGCAAAACTAAAATACTCTGTCCCCACACTCATAAAGATGAACACGAATAAGATATCACCGACCCTAAAGAAAACAGTCTCAGCTTTTACCATATAACCATCCATCAGATAACCTCAGCTGCAAAAACTAATGCAATACACACCCAAAATAACCCCATACAAAAATGCAGAAAAAAAGAGTTGTTGAACCACGCTTCCCTTTCTAGATTATTGTCCACTACAACAAGATTGGCCCAATTAGAACAATACAGCAGAATATTCACAAATACCACAAATAGATGCCGCATTCTTTAAAAGGCACAAATTTTGGAATTCAAAAAAAATAAACGCGTACTGTAAACAGCACTCACCCTAAAATTCCCAACACAAATTTGGCCAAGTAGCCAAGTACAGTCATAGCCCAAGTAGTCTCAGCCTAAATGAAATAAGGCAGAAATTAGTAGAAAGTAGGAAAAAATTCATATACAGCTTTCAAGAGTGATGCAGGTCAGCAAATTACATATAATTCAGTCCCATCACCTTTTCACCTTGAGGGTACATCTCTTCTAAGGCCTTGACATCATCTTCCAGAAGAAGTAACTCCTATAGTTCAAACATAATCACATTACCCTCATGAGTTTTTGACTAAAATGAACAGACATCTGACTTTTTTTCCCTTCATGAGTTAGTGAAAGAAAAGAGGAAAGGCGTTAGTTTACTCTAGGGGAGAGAGAGAGATGTTAAGAGATTTTTAAGTTCTCNGTAGAGGGTTTTCAACATTCAAACCTTTGAAAATGAACGTTGATCCATATGGTCGTGAGTTTGACTACAATCTCCGCATGGCAATTAATGGTCAACTAGAATACATCTCGTGCGGTCTACACATATAAATTCTCCCTCGTTTATCACGACAAAATACTATTATAGCAGTTACGTCATATCAATATTATTATTTAGTATTATTGATAAATAATAAGTCAATAAATAAATAAAGTAAATGTCACACTATTATGTGCATATATTTTTATGTAGTCTAAGAGTTGAATATTAAAAATTTATTAGTGAATGAGTTAGTGATAGAGAGTATTTTGTGAATAATTTTTTAGGTGATTATTAAAATAACGGAATCATGGGTTAGGTTAGTTTTTGAAATAATTTTTATTATCTTGTATTTAAAGGTATTTTTATCAATAAAATAGATATGTCAAATTTCGTATTGAACTTTCTTAGGAAGGTTGGGGAGTCAAGTTCACTTCAAATTGAACCACCGGAGGATTTTCACCACTTCAAAGTGGGTTTTCCTTTTCCCAATTCTATCTTCCCTTTGTTTTTTAAATTCTTCAAAGTTATAACATCCACCTTTAAATAAAAGGTTAATTATTTTTTACCTCCCTCTCCCTGTAGTTTCGACTAAAAACACTTTATCTACTTGACGTTTAAAATTATATACATTATCCTCTTATAGTTATGTACTAAAATGAAATGATTATTTTTATCATCCAAGTTGACGCAAAGTATGTTTCATACGTCTAAAACAT